GAGATGCAGACAGTGTGTATGTTGTTATTGTGTTTGCTGCAGTGGGAAGAACTGGCCCACCGGTTTCCACTGGAGTGATGCTGTCACTCAGAAACTGAAGGCCTAGCTTCAAATACAGGAGGGTTTTTGCTTGTTCATCATTATGGAAGAAGTATTTGGCTCAGCTTGCTGACAATGCCACCCTGTCAAACAAGTTGTGTATTTTTAACTGCAAACGTGAGATTATACGTGTTATTTCTCTCCAAATTCTAAAAGAGAACTGAGCACTGGGCTGGCAGTCCATAGGGTGAAGGTCCATATGACAGTGGTTTTGTCAAGGATGTTGCTCTGTGCCACGTTTATCCCACAAAGCTGCACAGCATCTGCAGTGCTGATGGAAAAAAAAGAATATTTTCCATCAGACATTGCTCAAAGTAAAAATTTTAATTGTTATTAATATTGTTAAAACAAACAACCCCACTTCTGCTGGCATTACCTGTGTCATTCCCATTTTTGTCATAGCCTATTAACTGGATTATGACAGAACACCCAGTTGGGTCCAAGACAGAACCCTATGGCATATTTTAGGTTTTCTTTAAGAATGTGGAGATAATCTTCCTCCGTCTTTATTCCATTTACTTTGTGTCGAGCACCAGTTCCACTGGCTGCTAAAAATAAAATACTACAGTACGTAATACGACCACCTCCATGCTTGATGGTGGGTTTGGTGTTCTTGGAGTTAAAGGCCTCACATTCTCTCCTCCAAACATATTTCTGATCATTGTGGCCAAATAGCTCAAATTTTGTTGCGTCTCATCACAGAACTTTCCTTCAGTCTGCCTTTTCTTTGTCTAAGTGATCAGCGGCTTAATCTAGACTTAAGGTGCCGCGGCGTCTTGAGCCCATGCTGATGTAGAACACACTTGACTGTGGACACTGACAGCTGTTTTCCAGCAGCTTCTAATTCACTTTTTGGAGTTTCTTGGTGGACTCTTGACTGCCCTGGCCAGCAGTCTCTCAGCAGCAGGTGACAGTTTGTGGTTGTCTTCCTGATCATGGCAGTGACACAACTGTACCATGCACTTTCTACTTCTAAACCATTGTTTGCATCGTTTATCTTATTTGAAATGGCTTCAGGTGACTTTCATGACTTTTTGGATCTGTGCTCAGACTCTCCCACTGCGTGGTTTGTTGCTGAGTCTAATGAGTGTATCAGATGGACCCTATTTAAATTGGCTCAGAGGAGTCAGAAGCTGTAGTTAATTGAAATTACTGACAAGAAGTTAAGTAGCCATGCCACTAAGAAAATTTGATTCGCGCAGCCTTCTACGTCACGATAAACTAATATTTGAAGTATGTATTGTTCTGACCCAGCAGATATTGTCCTTTTCCAAAAGACCTATATTGTCTTTATAAGTGTCTGTCAACTTTCGTTTACGACCGTATAGTAATTAGGCCTCGAAGTGCAAGTATGTGTTAAGTTAATATCTTTTACACATCCTTCTTTATTTCATGTTTACTGATATCTGTTAAAACTATCCTAACGTGATGCTACTCAGCTTGAATAAAACATAAAAACAATCTTTTAATTTCCAAACTTAAATCAGATGATGTTTAGAATGTGCTTTATATAAATAAGTTAAAATGTATGTTTGTTAATGATCTGTCACTTGAATAATTATTTGTTTTTAGCACCTACCCTTTTTATATATTCAACTTTAGTATTAGGAGTTTTTAAATTTTTAACTTACAAGGCACTGTAAAGGATTGTTATTCAATTACGGTTCCCAAAATTACATTTATGAGACTATGAAAAGCCCACATCCTATGAGAGAAGATAATATGACCTATTATGAGACTACATTGTCCATTGCTAAAGCAGCTGATCAAAACTCTGGTGATAATAACTACATATAGTGATGATGCAACATTACTGGACCAGTGGGAGGGTAAGGTGAGAAGAAATGACTGAAAACTCACACCACCATCTTGTCTTTGCACTGCTCATTTTGAATATGTCCTCACCGAAGACTTAAAGGTAGAACTGGATGTTGGATATCATCATCATTCTTGTTAACACTATGTAAGCAGACATGAAACTAAATGTATTAACGACGTATATCCTTTCTAAATTTTCATAGAAAACTGAGTACAGCATCTGGAGTATGATTGATGAACATAAAAACATCTATTGAAAATAAAATTACAATTGAAAATAATTTTAAAGTTGGAAAAAGAATATACTCTGCAAGTCTGGAAGAACCCACAACCTTTCCATTGTTTGCTGGGTACATCAGTATTGCATTTTTTTGTCCAGGCCTGATCTGCAAACTCTCAATACAGCCACCCTGATTTATGCTTCATGCAGCCTGTTCCAGTTCTGAGCATCACTAACATCCCACTGAACTCTGCTGCCATGACATGAGCACATGACTGCAAATTATCCACAAGATTTTCCAGTCTTCAGATTAGCATTTAATTGTAACACGTATTCATTTAAAACACCACAAGATAAAGCTGTCCTTCAGTAGTTGTTTCTCATTCAAATAGTTAACCTGTTTGCAATATGAAAAATTAGCCAAAACGTGGGTTGAAATGTTGTCAGGAACTCTGGAGTAGCAGAGCAGACTTCACTACAAGTTTGTGGAAGGAACTTTACCGTTAACATGAACTGGTTTTAGCGATTCATTATACATAAATGTGTGTGTATATCTATGTGTGTGTGATTACAGAAGATGCCTTCTGGTTCAGATCTCAGCACCACTCAGTGACAACATGGTGAACCCATGTGTAGAACTTATGCACTCCAAATGCAACTCTTTGTCTTAATGTTGGATTACATTTTTTTTGTCATTTGTAAATAAACAACAGAGGAAAAAGCGGTGCAAGAAGAAGTCTAAAATACCACATTATGCCACATGTATTCTTATCCTACCTGTCCCCTCACTTTACGCTTATTGGCATCAGCTGTCACTCAGTTTAGTGACAAGCACAGCTTTAACACCGTTGTCAACTGCCCAAGGAGGATATGAGTGATACATGTGTTTTTGTTATGCAGTGTATGTTTTTTTTTTTTTTTTTTACACTACTAAATAAAACCAAATGTCAGGTAAATGTCTTTTTTTTTTTTTTTTTTCCCTTATAAAAAAAACCAAATGTCAGGTAAATGTCTTTACTTGTATTTTTAGCCAATCCTTTACATACAGTGTGCGCCACTAATCATGTTTAATGTTACAGTCAGTCAGTGGCATGCATACCACCATTCAAAATATTTACTCAAAAATACTCACCTTTGCCTTCAGCTGTCCTTGGCTACGATAGTTGTGAGGAATAACACCTGAGGAAGTCTGTCAAGTGACAACACTGCGGTACATTGCTGGTTGGTGGCAGAAGATGATTTTCATCTGAGTAACTGCCAGCAGAGATCTTGTGAGTCCTGCTTGATCCCTGGGATGAGCTTCAGACTGGATATTACATGATTAGCCAAAAAAAATGCAATAATGAAACACTACAATCAGCAATATTTACAAAACGCATATTAATACTACTTTAATATTACGTTCGGTTTCATGTTCATTGTAATACAGTTTGAATCTAATAAATTAAAATTAAAATTATGAGATTCAGGTAAAAAAAATGATTGCAATGGTTCAAGAAGAACAATTCAAATTCAGTCATTATTTTTCTGAGCATTTTGCTTTTGCTGATCGAGAGAGCGGGCTGCACCTACACGGTGGCTCGGTTGTTGGCACCATCACCTCACAGCGAGAAGGTCCCGTTTCACGTCCCGGAGTTTGCATGTTCTCCCTGTGCAGCATGGGTTCTCACCAGGTTCTCAAGCTTCCTCCCACAGTCCAAAACCATGATTAGGTTAAATGGTGATTCAAAATAGTCCGTAGGTGTGAATGTGACTGCTTGTTTGTCTCGAAGTGTAGCCCTGTGATAGACTGGTGACCTGTCCAGGGTGTCTCCTGCCTTCACCCTGAGTCAGCTGGGATAGACTCCAGCCCCCTGTGACCCTAGTGAGGGTTAAGGTGTATAAATGATGAATGGATGGATGATAGAGCTGAAGAGAGACAAGAAAGGGCGAGCTACAAAGCGGAGGTGACATGCAGCAAAGCACCATGAGCTGTAATCAAGCGAGGCCAATGCGTCAGGGACTGTAGTCCTTTTATATATAGGACACCTGCTTAACCAGTTCCACTGTGAAATACAGTGGTGCCCCCAAATCCATATTGTTACTACAATTATTAAAGTTTAGAAATTCAATTCAAATTAAAGCTGCAAGCAGCGTTGGATGGGTCCTCAGACTTCCACGTGTGTTGGACGCAGCGCAGGTCGAGCTGTGGCCCAACCTGCTTCATATGTGTCCCGAAATTTGTAGTTCTAAGTCAAACGTAGCCCCGATGGGACTTTGTTGAAATAATGTAGAGGGCGCAGTTGAGCTGTGATGCATTTTAGAGCTTAGGGGGGGGGGGGCTTTGTTTTCGTCTTGACCTGCTCCATACGCCTACCACATTTCGTAGCTCTAGGCCAAATGGGCTGGACAGGAGTCCGCTGAAATGTTCAAGGGAGCGCTGTGGAGCCATTTTGCCATTGACATGCCCAGTTGCTTTAAAATCTGAAATTTTTTGCCACTCCTGATGTGTTTGCAAATTTTCATGAGTTTTTGAGCGTGTTTAGGCCCTCAAACATGCATTTGTTTTGTATATTAGATTAGATTAGATAGAACTTTATTGATCTAATCTAATCTAATCTAATCTAATCTAATCTAATCTACAAAACAAATGCGTCGGGAGAAGAATAAAAAAGAAGAAGAACAATTCCTTGCATTCCAAAAGGGTCCTATGCACTTTTAGTGCTAGTACCCTAATTCTGAGATTCAAAATTCAAATTCATGCCATAGATTTTGCAGTTGACAAAATTCAAATACAAATAGAAGTGATTCAAATACAGTTTTTAATGACAGATTTCTGCTCATAATGTGAGAGATAATATGACTTTTTTATCTCTTCCTCCAGCTCTTCACTGATGGAACCACCAACAAGCTAGTGGGCTGCTATGTGGACGACAGTCAAGAGGATGTTGTCTTAGTCCGAGTGTATGGGAACAAGACAGAGCTGATTGTGGACAGAGACAATGAGCTCAAAAGCTTTCAGGTAGTGTTGCTGTGTTTGTGTCAGTAAAAAAAACAGGTGTGTCAGAATTGTGTGTTTTTCATTCTTTTGTCTCTCTGTGTCTGCTGAAGGTTCTACATGCTAACGGTTGTGCTCCCCGCCTCTACTGCACTTTTCAAAATGGCATCTGCTATGAGTTCATGCAAGGAGATGCTCTTGGGACACAGGATGTCCGGGATCCTTCCCTGCTCAGGTCAGAACATGACGGAGTCCTGCTTTTTAGTGACTTAGTGAAGAGGGACCATACCGCTGTGCCTACTGGCTTTGTGTTATTATGTCCTATAGGCTGTGGTTTCTGCTTCCTACATAATAGACTAGACACACATTTCTGTGTCATCACACAGGAAAAAAATGCAAATGCTGCAAACCCATGTGAGTCACATGCAAATAGTACAGGAGCCATACTGTCAACAACAGATGATTAAGAGACAGTTCCAGATAGTTTTGTGCAGAAATGTTGCTCTTGGCCAAAACATTCATCTTAGTCTGTGTGATCTGATATATTTACTTTTTTTAAAATCCACCTCATTCCAGGGACTCTGCATTAGATATTTGTCCTTATTTAACCTTGCAGAGAAACACATTCTCATCCTGTAGGAGGGCAGTCTGTCACTGGATAATATGGATTGTTAATAGCTCAAGAATATTGTAGAATAGCCTTTAATGCAGCCTTTTCATGTTTATATCTCGTAATGATGATAACCTTGTTCGTTCCTTTCCCCCTCAGACTGATAGCCAGAGAAATGGCCCGCATTCATGCCATCCATGCACACAACGGCTGCATCCCAAAACCCAACCTGTGGATCAAGATGCGAAAATACTTTTCCCTTGTGGCCACAGAGTTCACCGAACAGGCCTCCAACGCCAGGTGATTTCTTGCTTCTCAGCTGCCTCTTGTAGTTGCCACTTCCACTCATTACTCTTTACATACTATGATAATGGTGCAAATTGTCCACATTTGCTTCTAACAGTAGTTATGAGGACAGATGCAATTTGCCGTGAGCCGATATCATCAGAGAATACTCAGTGGAGATGTAGTGGTGCTTTGGACAGGTTGGTTTGGCTTTGCATCTTTACTGACAGGGTTAGTGACACATGCTGTTGCATACAGTTGTTTGTAGGAGAAGTAACAGAAGTCGTTCTGCCAAGAACTAAAGTATGAGTGGTCCTGTTCGGTTCATAAAAGCACAAAAAACACTCTTTCCTGGAATTGGAGGCTAAAGAAAGCCTGCTGATACAGCATCGTTCAATACAGAAGGAAGGAGCCTTAGCAATTCAAGTCGCAGCAGGTGTTTTAATAAATATATCAGACTGTAAAACCTGAGATTATACAACTTCTAGAAACTCTGGGAGCAACTTTTGACACGTCCAGCAAAGTGCATTTGATGCCTAGAAGTAGATTCTTAGATTCTATGAAACTGTACTAGTGCATCTCAAAAAACTAGAGCGTTGTAAAAACTTTAGATTTTTTTTAGTTTAATTTTCAAAAGTTAGTTTTCATATGTTCTATATTCAATGCGTGTAAAAGTCAACATTTAAAGCGTTTTTTGTTTTTATTTTGATGATTATGACTTATAGTGCATGAAAATCAGAAATTCAGTATCTTAAATCATTAAAATGGATCCATACAGAAATGTCCAAATTCTGAAAATGGTGTAGATTTGTACAATCAATACTACATATACCCTTACTATGAATTGCTGAATCAGTGTGATGTGGCATGGGGGGATCAGCCTGTGGCTCTGCTGGGGTGTGATTAAAGCCCAAGTTGCTTTGATAGTGCCCTCTGGCTCATCTGCATTTTTGGGTCAAGTGTTTCTTATCTTCGTCTTGACAATACCCCATATGGGGTTCAGGTCTGGTGAGCTGGCTGACCAATCAAGGACAGTAACATCATGGTCAGCAAACCATTTGGTTGTAGTTTTGGCACCATGAACAGATTCTAAGTCTTACTTGAAATTGAAATCAGCATCTCCATAAAGCTTGTCAGCAGCTGGAAGCATGAAGTGCTCTAAAAATCTACTGATGGATGCTGCATTGGCTTTGGACTTGATAAAAAACAGTAGACCAACACTAGCAGATGGCGCCGAGTCACGACAGACTGCTGAAACTTCACACTGGATTTCAAACATATTGGATTCTGTGTGAGTCTAGAATCCAATAAATTTTCATTTTTTTAATTAAGTGATGGAAAATATTACATTTTTTCCCGATGTTCCATTTTTTGAGATGCACTAATATGCCTATTTTATATAAAGAGAAAGGGCAGTTGTTTTGAGTGCAGACTATCAGTGGTTTGGTTTGCATCTTAACACTGGACCTGTTGAGCCTACTAAGTATACCGTTCTGTTACCTGGCCAGCTGCCTAGTCACTGCTGATATCTGTTCTGATGCTATTAGATCAAGTCCAACATGTGGCTTATGTAACTGAAACAATAACAGCCAACTGGATTAGGGAGTCTGAGGAATGCAGTGGGCCAGCAGATGTTCACTTAGGTCTGCGTATCAGGTCACTTTACTCCCTTCTATGGTAACACAGACAGCTAGAGTGTCCTGGTCCTGGACAGCTGACACTAGTTGCACTGCAGTCTGAGAAGCTCACATGTCACCAGACCTTTATATTCTGGTGTAATGCAGATTGCAAATTCAGAATTACCTCCATAAATCAAGAATGTTAGATCAATTGCAACTAAGTCATTGTGGAAGAGGTAGCAAGCCTAGTTGAAAACTCCAAGCAGGGGCTGTGTCCTGAATGTGTATTTGATCCAGCCTCCCACCAGGGTTTCCATCATTCCGTGCTATTAGGCTGACGTCCTCTAAGCTCCCTACTGTTAGTCCAGGTGTTTTAGTGTTGTACGTGGGACTTGGTTGGCTGAGACTTGAGTCAAGTCAGTGACGGCAATAAAATGATACTGATATGTCCCAGCAACAGACACTTTATCAAAAACTAAATTGTTTGATTCAGTGTGTAATAGTTTCACTTCAGTGCATTAAATGCTATAGCCATGAAAGCACCAAGGAAAACACAAAGTTTATTTCCATGAAAAACTCCAAGTGTGCTCCTTCCCCGGCTCATAACAAACTATCATACCTTGATAATAGTGCCCTTTTGCGCTCCTCATCCCCATCTATGCCCACAGTCATCCCCTGGTACAGGCTGTGGTGGGTAAGGACCGGCAGTTGTCCTTGTGAGACAGGCATCAGGTCTGTAAAACACCCATGACCCTGTGTCCCCCAGTGCCTTCACTTAGGTGAATTTCCCTTCTGGGATGAATAAAGTTTTTTTTTTTTTTTTCATTCACTCCCAGCAGCCGGCACCAAGGGAAGCAGGGCTTAATGTCAGGGTGTGCAGAGACCAGTGTGGGGTCCCCATCCAGTCATACTCTGTCCATACCAGCCCTTTGGAACCTTCAGTGCTTTGTAGCACCCTGATCGCCTTCTGGGTGCCTCTGGGTTTTGCTTGCTTTCAAACCTCATTTCAAAAGGCATAGTATCATGACCACAGTGACACCTAAACACTGCCGCACGATGAGAGTTCACTGAGGACTTGTTTCTCTGTACTGTGTTCCTCGGAGCCAGACAGCTATAACCCCCACGGAACCTGTGTGCTGCCTGTACATGTTGGTCTCAGGTGTTTTAACTTCACATATGTTCACAGTCTCCAATGATACCAGAGCAAGGAAAAGCAGTTTATGTTGCTAATAAACAGCTAGTAATAATAATAATAATTGATCAGATTTATATAGTGCTTTTCGAGGCATTCAAAGATGCTTAACACTGTCAATTATTCATTCACTTATTCACCATTGGTAGCTGCGATTGTAGCCATAGCTGCCCTGGGGCAGACTGACAGAGGCATGGCTGCCGTTCTGCACCGACCACAACCTCAAACAATCCATGACGCAGGTTACAGGGTGGAATCGAACCGCCAACCTTCCCATCATTGACCGACTCGCTCTATCACCTGAGCCACAGCCGCCCCAGGCATTAGTGAAAGTTCTCCTGTCACTTTCCTTTGCTGTGCATGTGGGGCCAGTGTGGTGTTTTGCAGACACTTAGTATAATTGTCACAACAAGGCAAGGCAGCATGTGAAAAGCTGACCTTTTCTACATTTCATTTCCTGGACAGAATCCAGCAGGAGGTTCCCAGTAAAGAGGTGCTGGAACAAGAGATGGTGTGGATGAAGGAGCATCTCTCTACACTGGGCTCCCCTGTGGTGCTCTGCCACAATGACCTGCTCTGCAAGAACATTATCCACAACAACAAAGAGGGTAGGTTCCCGCTCTTTAAAATATCACTATTCTGATTTTACTGTCCACAATGCTCCCAACCACTGATGATGAGAAGCTGCAGCAGCGAAAGTAATGCAAACGAATAGTTATTTTAGACTTGTTCTTAGGCTGTAAAGGAATAATTCCTTGTTTAGCCGATGTTTACTTTTCCATTTTCTGCCTGAGGGATTGTTGTGCTATCCTTGACAGAGTCAGACTCTATGGTAGGGCATAGAGAACCTGTTCCAAAATTCTCATCTTAAGGAATCATTTCTAAATTCAAATTTTGATTCTTCTTATTAGTTCCTAAACAAAGCTGAACACACATCTTCCCATCTCCTTAACATGCTCAAACATTGGTGGGCTGCTTAATTAGGTGAACAGCATACTGCGTGACAGTCTTGTGATCGTTTGGATTGTATTGATACCAGTACCAATACCAATACTGCTTGTCAAGAAGCTTAGTGGTACTGAATTACTGACCCAAACACGTACCAGCACCAGTTAATACCGGTACTTAACAATACTCTTATCGATACTACTGTCTTTAATTTAGTGCAGAAAATGAAGACGTGACAAGATTTATTTTTACTACAAAGTGGGCAATTCAACATCTTGTATGACTTTTCATTGACACTGGCCATTCGATTTCCTTTGACAAACTATTTTCACGACTGACAGAGTACGTAAGGTTTCTCTCTTGCCCATGTGTGACTCAATATGTAGCTACTTCTTAGACTGAGCCTACCTTCACAAACTAAGTGAACTGTATAGTTCAGAATGGATGTCCTTGTTCTTGAGCTTCTTTGAAGCCATCAGAAATGGTGAACAAAGAAAATGCAACCATAACAATAGAGAGGAGAACTTTATTCTCTCTCTCCTGTGTTATAGCCCACCCATCAACAGTTTTTGTTCAAGGAAAACATGTTGCCCTGCTGTGGAGAACACTCTTTCTGATGTTGTTGAAGTGGCCTGAACACAACTTCATGTTTTATTTACCATACCTATATACAGTTATCTACAATGCCTAAACCATTTTGATTCCACTGCAGTGAAAGACTTCCATCCTGACAACAAAGCAGAGGCTGCTGCTTGACTCATGTTGTCTGTGGGATTACTAAATGGGAATGTAACACTACACTGTAGAAATGCTTAAATCAATGACAACTGTAACATAGCAAATAACTAATTGTATAGACATATTTGTATAAAATGAACTAGTGTTGTTACCTGAACTTTTAGTTGTGTTCCTCCCGTAACATCTCCATCAGAGGCTCCACGACTGTACGAGCATTATCTGCTTCGCTAAAGCTAATAAACATGCTGCACTGTTTTATATTGATGGAGTGCTGCACTTGTGTTTCATGAGTTTGCTGGTGTTACCTTCTTCACACGCAACTAGCCTTTGACACAAATTGCATGTAGTTGCACTGTTGATAAATCTAGAAAAGTGAGGCCAGACTTTCGATCACCTTGCCCTGTCCATCATCAGATGACTGCAGAGAGCAGCCAGCAGCGGCCCAGCAATGTAACGTCATACCTCTTCGTATGACATTAGTGGCTTTTTCATTAGCTTGAAATAACGTTGCATGATTTATGTCATAAATACTGATAACAGGACCGTTTGTCAAAGGAGCTTAATGGTGCTGAATTACTGACACAATCACAGACCGGGACCAATTAATACAGGTACTCAGTACCTATCCCTAGTGACAGTCGCCTTAACTTTGCACATGCTAAGCTAAAAAACATTTTAAAAAGACAGACTCCGCTATCTTTAAAGTAAGCTAGCCTAGCACACACCAAATTATTCAAAGTTTGAACTGGTACAGCTACACTAATAATTACTTTTTCTAGCTTTGTGTTTTCTGCTGGTAACATTTATCTGTGGTAAATAGTGTTTAATTCAACCCCTGTGATGAATGCAGGATGTCGTAGTAATGTTTCCTGAACAGACACTCTTTGTTTCTCTTCTGTGACAGCAAACCAAATACAAAGACTTTCTTTAACTGTTACACTGAGTGATGCACATTACAGCTGTAACTTTACTACTTCTTATGGTATGCATTTTTCCATGACTGTGTTAACATGCTAGTACTGCCCTCACACTCCGAGAGGGACTCAGTTCCCGTATGAAACCCTCTAGTCTACTTTACAAACTTCCTTAAATGGGATGTGCAGTAAGACTATGGGTGTGCCAACCCCTCTATTTGGAAAAAAACATGGTAACTGCACTGATTATCCACAATATTAAAACCACTCGCAGATGAAGTGAATACCATTGATTATCTCATTACAGTGGCAGCTGCCAAAAGGTGGACTATGTTAGATTGCAGATGAACAGTCAGTTCTTGAAGTTGGTTTGTCCCCTGGTCCCTCCCCTTAAAGCCATTTTAACCAAAAAACAATCCCTTCCTCAACAATGGACAAATCAATAAGCTCACACAACAACACTGCAGAAAGACACTCTTGAGTGATAATTATGACCTGTAAGATGAGAGTCACTTACTGACAGAGTAGCAGAGCTACCATAGTGCTAGCAAGCTTTTTCACCAGCTCTGATGACTGTAATACCATCTGTTATGTGATCCTTTATTGTACATTGCAGCAGCTCCTGCAACATAACCCATATTGCTTCCCTTGACCTAGGATATGGGATGTTTGTCGACTTGTCTGCCAGTTCTGCTCTTGCAACTGAGGTCCAGTCACAATGCAGGCATAATTTAAAAAGAGAATGCATAGTAGTAATAGGTGTATGTGCAAAGGCTTGTGATCAAACATCTTTAATCATGTACATATCATATGGTCAGGTCGCTGACAACTTTTCTATATTGTTCATAAAAAGAATATGAATTGGAGGCAGCTCCATGTTGGCAATAGCGAAGGAGGAGGCATGTTTTCAGGTTGTCCATCCATCCCATTTATGTGAACATGATATCGTTTGAATGCCCTGAAGGTGTTTCTTCATTACAGCTTGCTCAAGCATCCACTTGGAATCAAGGTCAAAAGTACAGATCACTGTGACCTCATAAAACACTGTTTTGGCCAAAAAACTCAAGAATGGATGTGCCAGTTATGAAAGAATTTTACTCAAATAACCAATAGGATAAATAAGTGATGACATTTCATATCCAAATGGTTAAAGGTCACGTCTGGACAGATATGAATGTAAACTGCATATTCATCATATGGCAGAGGCATGCTAGGGCAGGGGGTGACCGTAGTTTGGTTTTGCATTTGTTTTTACACGCCAAAAAGCAAAAGACATTTCAGTATTTTTTTCCACAAAAAAAAAATAAATGTATGTGACGATTTTTAAGAAATGCTGAATTGTCAGATCACCCACCAGTACCATAGCATAGAACTCTGCCCTCACGTGAACCTCAGTGGTTCACCCCCTTCTTCTAAAACTGCAGTTTGACCTTCCCTTCTCCTCTCACAGGTGTTTAGGTAGCAACAGGACATAGAAACCGTGTTTTTCAGCATATGCTCGATAATCTACAGTATATTTGATTTGTTCTCTTGTTGCTCAGGTCATGTTCGCTTTATTGACTATGAATACTCCAGCTACAACTACCAGGCCTTTGACATCGGCAACCACTTCAATGAATTTGCAGGTATGTCAAACCGGAGTATGATTTGCATTTAAGTGGCAATTTTATACTCGTGTGGTGTTGCTTATTGTACAACTATGTGTCCATGTGTGTGGTCAGGCATGGCTGAGCTCGACTATGGACTGTACCCCAGTCGGGAGATGCAGATGGACTGGCTCAAAGTGTACTTGCGGGCATACAAACTCTTCACCAAGAAAACCGAGGAGATCAGTCCACGAGAGCTGGAGACACTCTATGTACAGGTCAACAAGTTTGCTTTGGTGAGGAGAAATATGTTGGCAAACACAATGCACACTGTCTGTTCCACACTCACACTTGTAGTCTCATTTTACTTCACCATAACTGATATCTAATTTGTCTTTCTCAAGGCTTCTCATTTCTTTTGGGGTTTCTGGGCACTCATCCAGGCCAAATACTCGTCCATCGACTTTGACTTCCTCGGGTAAGTTTCTGTGTGTATGTACCTGAAAGGGCTAGCTCTACATGGGGCGACCCCCTATTACCACCACCCCCACCCCCACCTGTGTAGGATGTTGTAAAAGTAATGGGTCAAGCATTTGTCTGAGACTAATCGTAGCATGTGCTAAAGAGCATCATGAAAAACTGAAATCAAAAGCCAACGTGTCTCATTTGTTTTGTGAGGTTGCATACCTAGCACACCTGTAGTGCATACAGATGCTGGGTTTGCCTCTGTGGGTAATTAGCAGTGAGCAAGTAATCAGTAAGTAAGCAAAATCAGCCTATTAGTAATTGGTGTTTAGTTGACCTGTGTACTTAAGCATCTTATCGAAATTGTAATTAAAAAAATAAATAAAACGGGCCCATCAAAAATATTTACCTCCTTTGGAAGTTTTCCCCCTTTTTTTTGCTTTTCAACTTTAAATCTACGAAGTAACGTCAGTTGATTAAAAATATAAAATTTAAAAAGTGATTGTATAAAGATGGTTGTACTGTAGGGACTGTAAGGACCAGTCACTGGTGAACCGCTACTCCTGGCTATCACTACACCAAGAATTCAAAAGAAAACTCCACACAACTACATGAAACGGTTGCTAAAAAGAATAAGTTAGGGGTTGAGTACAAGAAAATTTCCCTCATATATCTGTTTGATTACTGTGAAATCCATCATTAAGAATTGGGAGGAATTTGACACATGCATACATCTGCCCAAAACGGGACTCCACAAAAGCTGAGTGACTGAGTAAGAAAGAGACTAGTGAGAGAGGACATCAAGGCACCTGTGACTCCTCTGAAAGGGCTAAAAGCTTCAGTGGCAAAGATGGGAGAGACTGCGCATAGAACAGCTAGTGTCCAGGTACTTCAGCAGTGAAAGCTTTATGGGAAAGAAAAAGCCACAGTTGAAGCATTTTTGACTTGAGTTCGCCATATGGAGAGGCCATATGGGATACTCTGAAGTGGAAGAAACTTCTTTGGTCTGATGAGAACAAAATGAGCTTTTTCACCATCAGACTAGATGCTTTGTTTGGCAGACACGAAACAGTGCACATCATCACAAACACACCATCCCTATCGTAAAACATGGTGGTGGCAACATCATGATGTGTGCATGCCTCTCATCAGCAGGCCCTGGCAGGCTCGTGAAGGTTGAGGGTAAAATGAATGCAGCAAAGTGTAGGAAAACCTGATGCCGTCTGCAGGAGCACTGTAACTTGGGAGGTGTTCTCTCATGATGCCCATGCAACCTGACAGAGACCTATCACTTATTTTACGTTTTATATTGACATTATTTTCTGTATCATTTTGATATTACTTTGTAGAAATCTTTTTCCATTGTGACATGAAAGGGTCTTTTTTGTAATGTTTTGTCAAAAAAAGCTATATATATATAAAAATAATATGACCGTTATTCAGTGTAGAAAAACAATAAAAGAGGACAATTTCCAAAGGGGGTGAACATTTTATGTAGGCACTGTTGCTGTTGTTTTGCCAAATCTGTAATTTGATTACTCTGTGAGTCAGAACCTTAGTTACCTGAAGTTGTGATTGAATTTCCAAAGTAACATATGGAGTGTTAGCATTAAAGGACAACTTGCTGCTGTCAGAATACTCTTTTAACATCACTGCAGCGGGACCCCTGGGGGGCAGCTAGTGCATGTTTAGATTTATCTCTCCTTGTGTAGTAAGAGAATGACACTACAGGTTCTTAGTTTTCAGGAGCTGTGATTTGTGCTTGTTTGCATCAACTGTCAGAGTGGAAAATAGTTAACCTAGTTTGATAGGCTCTATTTTCAGAGTGGAACACAGACTTAACAGCATGGTGCATCTGCCCAGATGGCTGTCATGAAAGGGAAAAGTACATAAATGCTTTCTCTTGGATCAAATATTTAGGGATTTATTGTGCCACAGTTGACAGTGTGTCTCCTATCAATGACACTTCTCAAATGTCAGTCAGCTACTGTCATGACTATGACTGAACCAGACATTTGATGCCAACGTGTTTGCAGAATATGTGATGGAAGAACGTGTAGACGTATTTAGTATCATTATAATTTATATTTGTCTACATGTAGAAGTGAGAATAAACCCAATTTCAATAGGAGTCTAAGGCTGGAGTCTTCCTTTTGTGCCATTAACCCTGTCTTCCTCTTGTTTCTTGTAGGTATGCAGTGCTACGTTTCAACCAGTACTTCAAGACCAAACCTGCAGTGATGGCCCTACAGATCCCAGAATGAGAGAAGACAGAGGAAGCCAGAAGAACGAGGAGAGAAGAACAGAGCAAGGGTGTAGCAGCTTAAATGCTGGGACTCCCTGTAGGGTGGGGATTCTTCTCTGTGAGCCAGCTGTTGATGGATACTGCTGGGTCTACCTGGCATCTCTTTTCTGCAACAAGCGCAATTACTTTTTCATTCCTCTGCACTTAGCTCCACGTCTGTCATGACAGTTGCTTGAGAATTCCAAAACTTCCATGTGCGTGAGTGTGATTGAATGTGCTTTTAATTTATCATGATAAACCCAAAATGTCTTGCTTTTCTTCTTAGGGCAACTGAACCAGGCATTTTGAGCACAACATTCTGTGTTTAGGGTAGGGCTCACTGACTTGAAACCTGCTTTATTTCTCTGCCATACTGGCGCCAAAATGTTCAGTGGTACTGGTAATGAAGGTCTATTAAGGAGACTTTGATGATGACATTGACATAGTTTGTCTAGCTTGCCCTCTGCGTACTTTATCTATGACTCAGAACCATGGCCTCGTTGTAGTTAGAAACTGACTTTCACCTGGTATTCCTCACATTTTACGTTTGGTGTGTGCAACAAGACCGTTCCTCCTCTGTTTGCCGATGTTTTAATACTCTAATCTGTGTGACCTTTCCTGTTTTTGCTTCATCTTTGGCGTTAAGTGCTTGTAGCTCCAGCGTTTTTGCTCTGAGCTTCCCAGAGATCACCTGTGCATCCTTTGATGCAGTTTGACCTTATGTCAGTACCTCTTCTAGTTTTTCCAAGCCATCTGCTGCTCCTAGAAATATATCACTGATCTTTTCTCTGAGCAAGTGGGCTTTCTGTTTTGAAAGAATAACCCACCAGACTCCTAAGTGTGTGGAACAGCAAATGGACATGTTTTCACAGTCTGTCTTTCAGTTGGATCACTATTGTGTTATAGCAATAAGTGACAGAGAGTTGCTAAATGTACATTTATTTATTTGTGTGTGTGAAGACACTGGATCATTTTACACCTCAGGTCAACAACTCTTCGGTTTGGGCTGCTTTAGCAAGTGTTCTATACTGTAGTACTGAAAGAGGAGGGGGACATAGACGGTTAACAAGAGACCCGTGTAAATGTGACTTTAAACTTTGTGTGCTTTTCTGTCCTCAAGCTGTTTTTCCACCTTTTTGACTTTTATGGTTACAGATAATCGCTCTGTTAAACTTTCCATGTCAACTTTCCAGACCTTGTGTCACCCCTCCATGTCAACTCCTCCTCCACCAGTTTACTCTCTCTTGTGTGAACTCACTCCTCATGAAGGTATCTTTGATCTTCCTCCAGCTTCAGATTTTTTTCCCCAATCTCCCTTTATCTGTTGAAGTTGTGGCTGGAACACCTGGTCCACTGGCCATCTTGACATTGGAGCCCCCACTCAGCCCCGCATTGTATTCCATTTTTGTTCACATCCTGGTTTTGAAGCCAAGATTGGTTACATAATCAGGCATTACATAAGTTACATCTGGGGTCAAAGCAAGTCTAGCTTTCAAAAAGAGGCAGGAATGGGTTATCTGGGGCTGTTTCGCTCTCATTAGACTACCAATTACTTCCATGGAAAAAGATTGCATCACACTCTGTAAGGAATAGAAGTTCTCATTCCCCAATCTGATGACAGCAAAAATGCTAAAACCTTACAAGGCATGCTCTGGATTCTTTGAACTCTGTGTCCACTGTGACGATGCATTCTGTCAAACTGTAGCGTGAATGTTTTACACGAGTTTGTCTATAACTGTTACTGTTCATTTGCCCCTGAACTGTTAAGATGCCTACTGTAGAGATGTTGGCTGTAACCTCTCCAGCACTGAGCAAGTCAACCTGTCTTTTGTTTGTATTCAACTCAGCATCTGACTAAAGTCCGAACTTACCATTACGTTCTGTTTGGCTGTCACTTCTTCAAAAGATAAGGCTTTCATTATTTCAAACAGTTTAATTTGTCTGAAGTAGTTTAAAATAAGTGCTGCCACAGGTCAATAGCTGAACCTTAGAAGTGCTCTCTGCTGGACCACAACACAAACTACTTCAGTCTGATGTTTGAATATTCATTCGAACAGTTTGAATATTCTTTCTTCCCATCTTCAAAGGACCGTGTCAGTTGTTACTTCAATCTCCTTTTTTGTCATGTCGCCTTGACACATACATAAAGCCCGAGGACGCATGTGAAGCATTCGGTGCCTCTTTTGGGCCACCATATTTTTCTTGTAACGTTCTGTGCAATTCTCTAAAATTTGGTAGGCTGAACACACTACTGATCTAGTGTCATAATGCACATCCTCATTTGGCTTTTAATATTAATATTAACTTCTCCTTTTTCTCCACTGACCACTAGGCCTCATGCAGGAACCATCCATATCAGCATTTCTTCCGTTTCGTGTAGAAGTGATATACAGTAGACAACGTTTTGCATTTACCAATTATCTGACAAGTGTGGACACGATTCGTGAATGGCTTGGACCTGTTCCATGATTCCTCCATAGGGTCATCCTATTACAAAAACCAATGATGTTACGTAATATATTGTAATATGTATTCCCCCCTCCATCGTCTCTAAGCATCTAACCTAAGATCAAGCCATTCTGTCTTCACGTCTATAGCAGTGTAGGGCTGCTCCGATGGCACATTGTTGGCAGCCATACTGTTGAGCTGAATTTGTTCTTTTCCTTATGCACTTTGATGCATCTTTCCCCTCCAACATTTTTCTGACTAAATCTTGCACAATTTTGTAGCATTTTGTGGTGTTGCTGATGCTAATGATCACATCGCTAAAAACAACAAATATCCAAACAAATAAAAAATCTGAAACAAGTAATGTACCACACGTTTGTACAGTTAAGTCTTTACCTTAAACACTTGTAGGAGCAAATCCCCACAGGAAATGTTAAAGAGGTGCAGAATAAAAGCACTTGAATCTTGCTGAGTCATGAGACCCATTGATAGTATAAGGGCCATCATAATAAGACATCCTGATCTAGCTTGCTATACACTATTTAAAAAGTCCAGAGCTCTGTTCTGTCTTGTGTTTCACCCCCACACACTCCCCTGAATATTTAGCGCCTCATAGGCCCATAAGGAGGAGACACAGAGATCTGACCTTTGTCCTCCACTGGAGGTGTCATGTAACTGAACGGCTTAATAATTCACTAGATGAACAGCACCAGAACAGACAGACTAACTGATGCTAATGGTTTCAGTCGGGACAGTTAACCTATGATTTTTTTGGAGATTGCATTTGTATTTGACTTGATGATTAGAGCCTTGTCATTGTGAAGTAGATCTCATTTTCAGGCAGTGTGAGACTAAATGTGTTTAAGAGTTGTTTAGGGAAAGAGCAGCTCATATGATGGCACATATTTGGCAGCAAAGAAGCTGTTTTGTCTTGAAAAAGCTCCCCTCACCTACAACATTAGTGCATTTTGACAGTAGTCAAGAGACAGTTCTTTTAGGGGACTTATTGTGAAGTAATCTGCTTAGTAGATTTGCAGAAAAAGGCCAAATGTGTAAACTTGCTGCTTAAACACTCGATCCTAATGCCCTGGTAGGAATTTAGCCTGGGTAAAAAAGGCATTTGAACTCTATGAACATTGACTGGATTGCTCCATTCCCTTAACAGAGTGGACTTCATCTGCTGTTACAGTTCAGGGTTTTTGAAGAAATCTTGCTGTAGGTTTATGTGGTTTCCTTGAAAGTAAGATTTATTATTTTAGCAGATGCGGCTGTTACAGACTAAAGCTACAAATAGGGTGGCTAAATTCAAAGCGCATTCTGCATGCAACTGAGACTGTGCAAAAACTTCAAAATGTCAGCAGCGTTTGGACCTTGGTCCCTTTAACCACCATGTTGTTTGATACTAACAGGTCCAGAGCCAGAATCCTCTTTGTGTAACTGAAATTACTCAACATGCTTCGCACACTGCATTCCTAAATCACTGAAACACTTGGTCTTTGCAGTTTCTTAGGGGAAGTAGCTGCTCTGAAAGAAAAGCTAAGACACAGAACCATACGGTAAATTGACAATCAAACATGGTCCCCACCATTAAAACAGAGTCAGAACAGAAACGTGGAACCTCCTGTCGCTCAGTGTGATTGACGTGTCTTTAAATGATCATCCTACTTCCAGGCTATATATCTTTGTTAAAGTGTTAACTGTAGCCACATGTAACAGTGATGTCACTGCATACTGACACACCCTGGAAAACACATCTACAGCTGCAGGAAGGCAGGTCAAACCACTAGAGGTCCTTGTTCAACATGAAATGGACATCTTAGTCTGAGATATTACTTTGCAGTTCTAACTGGTGAGTCTACAGTTTCCAAATATTTGTGTTTCCTTCTTGGTATTAACAAATCGAATAGCGTTTTCCCCACTTTATCTACAAACTCTTTGAATGTGGGTTTGTTTTAAAAGAATATGGTTGTAAAAGTAACAAGTAATTAGACCTCTAAAGGTGAAGTCTAATTACAATAATTACTACATACAATACACTTTTTTTTGGTCAAATTCAGTGAATATCTCCTCATGGTCTGCTGCGAGTTGAAACAAATCTCATGTTCATACTCAGCTCCAGCTCTGTTAATGGGAAGCAAACAAAGTGGCTCGGACAGATCCACACGACACTATTCCAGTGTGTCCTGTTCATGTTGATGCTTGCACAGAGGACAGGGTGAAGGGGTTAGGGAGGTGAGATGGGGAGCAGTAGACTGTAAATCTGACACATGACAGCTATGTAGAAATGCTAACTAGCTCAATATCAACAATCTTTCACTAGAATTGCACACTTTACCTCTACGTAGGCAAAATTATCTAAAAAAATAATAAAATGAGACCTATGGTAGTTAACCTAACTTTGTTTACCACAAACATAGCTTCAGCATTTCCCACTGGCTGCACGGACAATAAAGTCTGATAGTTTCTTCTCTTTTTTTGTGTTGTTTTTGACATTACTCGATGCAAGGATGACTTTTTAAAATAAGATTGCATACCAGGTACACTGCTTATACAGTCTGTGGTAAAATGACAACAAGCCAAACCGTCAGAAGATTTCCCTGTCATGTTATGACCTGAGTGTTTAAAGCAGTTCATTTATTGAGTAAATCCAGCATCGCTTTTCCCACCTTTTCTGGTTCTAATGAGCTAATTTGCATTGCAGTTGTTTTCAGATTAACTATTTTTCTGTGTGAATGTACCAGTTTAATTTAATGAAAATACAGAAAAATGTGGGTTTTTTTTTTTCTTTGTATGCTGATATTTACTTTTTGTAAACGCTTTGACTTGAAACAGGGCGCTATGTAAAGGGACCCAGCATTCGGCTTCCAGATGTGACTGTAAATGTACTTGTCTAATGATAAAGGAGATGCTGCATTGATGTGTGCGCCTGGCAGAGACAGAGGATGTACATACTGTGTAAAGCTTACTGTACAATGATCCTTCACACCTCTGTGGAAGTTACAAGAGGAATTATTTAACAGTTGTTAGTAAATATTTCCATTAAAAAAGTATAAAATGATTTTTACAAAAGGTGTACAGCTTTTGATTTCTCTGGTGTCAGATTTATTGGAAATGCATTACACTACCAACATGTACCACAGTCATACAGGCCCATATGTCTGGCCCTGACAGGAGTAAGGAAAGAAAACTTCTGGGCCCTTCTGTGAGCTTTCATCGTCATAGTAGTTCCTATACGTTGGTATTTTTATGTCTTTGTAATTTTTACAGGGGAGGCTTTGAAAAATGATTTCCAAACATACTCCGGACTGGATTAAAGTAAATGACCAGAGGAGGGGTTCTGTGAATCTAGTGTGACTCAGCCAGGCTGTCCTACCTACCACAGAATTCAACACCCGGTCTATTGGCTGAAGCTGAGTGGTTGATAACATGTTCAGAGCTTTTGAGTGTGTCAACTGCACAAACCTGAAATTATTTACTGACTAACTGCTTAACTAATGTTTTGTACAATTTGACAAAACTATTTTAGTTCAATTTTTACATTAACAGTTGTTGATAGAATTTTCTCTGTGATAAATACCAATGGATTCATCAATTTTCCAATCTGTGTTCTATTAGCTCAGGGGTGTCAATCTCAAAAACACAGTGGGCCAAAATTTAAAACCTGAACAAAGTCGCGGGCCAACATTGAATAAATGAACCTTTTAATATGGACAGAAACAAATTTTGCTTCAACATTGAATATGGAACAAGCAACGCTTATTACCATACATTATATGTAAGTTAATAGTGGAGACATGCAAAATCAAATTATAAATAAAACACATCAATGGCACAGTGACAGTTGTAGTGTGAAGTCGCTATGCCTACTGTCACAGAGGAGAGGGAGTTTCTGGGTCCTGTCCTGATTGATGTGCCAAAACAACAACAGGGCATTATGGGATTTGTAGTATTAGCGGTGAATGCGCTGTACAGTATAATACTGGGGGCAGCTCTAGTAGTCATTTGGTATTGTCTCGCGGACCAAATATAACTACAAAGAGGGCCAAATTTGGCCCGCGGGCCAGAGTTTGACACCCCTGCATTAGCTGCTGTGCCAGCAGTGTAAAGGGGCCTTGGCTCACATCAGCACAAAATGTAAAAACATATTTATGCTTTTTCTACATCACCAACTGAATGCATGTAGTCCCCGTGGCAGCGCATACTTTATGCAATACTGTCACTGCATGATCGTAGTAGTTTTGTAGGTTTGCAGATATGACATATTCCCATAACTTAGAATCTCTATCGCTCCCAGAGAATCATCAAGAAACCAACTGGTAAAAGTGAGATGCTTGACTTTCTGTGGTGTCATGTGTAGGAAAGAAGCTTAAAATGGGCTCTTACAAAAAAAAACAACTACTTCTTCGAAACAGTATTAATGTCAGAAGGTGGGTAAAACTCATGAAAACTTAAGACAAAGAAAATTACCAAAAAGAAATGGATAAAAAAAAAAAAAGGACGTTTGGCAGAAGGACACGAAATCTCGTAGTCCAGAGATTCTTTTTTAAAAATGGAATACAACTGTATTCTTCCTAATGGAGTAGCACTGAGATACAAGTGCCATACATCAGTACAAATGAAAACTAGAAAAGCACTTAGAGAGCGCAGCCCTCCGCCAAGCAGCTCACTTCCATCCATATTGTGATTTCCAGCCATTGTTAAAGTCCTGCATTCATTTTATCCACACTATTAGATTCATGGATAATCAAAACATAGCTTTAGCATTTGAATTGACATTGATATCATTAATAACAAGCTGACTGAGTGATGAACGGTCGTTCTGTACTCGCAAATATTGTTAGACCCGATTCTTTAGTTGGAAGCCCAAGAACAAACCGGAGAACTCTTCAGTTCTCAGATGTAGAATTTATTTAGGTCACAGGTAAAGTTTTGCAGCGCTGGAATTCAGAGGGACAGACAGGAATCCCATCTCCAGCTGAACTGAGTTGTTTTTGGGTTCAGGTTACAGATATGTTCTTGGGCTGGGACTGCCCCGTACAGAACAGTCAGAGGTTGGACTTGTACGCTACTGAGTTTAATTGGCCAGTTACTGTGACATGAACAGGCTAACCACTGTTCATGTGGAAGTTCACTGAAATGTAAACACAAACTGCTTGGATCAAATAAAAGTGTGTGTGTTTCGAAGGCGTGTATCTGAAGCAACTGATTGAAAAGAGGAATTTCCGCTGTCTCCCACTATGTGAACCAGTTCTAACCGGCCATGTTATCTTCAAGGATTGTGCTCAGTAGAAAAAAGCAAAACAGGTTCAGTGGAAAGATACTGGTTCAGAATACATAATAGCTCGAAACATACAGGTGCTGGTCATACAATTAGAATATCATGAAAAAGTTTATTTCAGTAATTCCATTCAAAAAGTGAAACTTGTATATTATATTCATTCATTAGACACAGACTGATATATTCCAAATGCTTATTTCTTTGAATTTTGATGAGTATACCTAAATACTAATGAAAATCCCAAATTCAGTATCTCAGAAAATTAGAAAATTGTGGAACGGTTCCATATTGAAGACACCTGGTGCCACGCTCTAATCAGCTAATTAACTCAAAGCACCTGCAAAGGCCTTTAAATGGTCCCTCAGTCTAGTTCTGTAGGCTACACAATCATGGGGAAGACTACTGACCTGATAGTTGTCCAAAAGACGACTATTGACACCTTGTACAAGGAGGGCAAGAGACAAAAGATCATTGCTAAAGAGGCTGGCTGTTCACAGAGCTCTGTGTCCAAAATAGAGAGGCAAAGGGAAGGAAAAGATGTGGTAGAAAATAGTGTACAAGCAATAGGGACAACCGCACTCTGGAGAGGATTGTGAAACGAAACCCACTCAAAAATGTGGGGGAGGTTCACAAAGAGTGGACTGCAGCTGGAGTCAGTGCTTCAAGAACCACCACGCACAGACGTATGCAGGACATGGGTTTCAGCTGTCGCATTCCTTGTGTCAAGCCACTCTTGAGCAAGAGACAGAAGCGTCTCGCCTGGGCTAAAGACCAAAAGGACCGGACTGCTGCTGAGTGGTCCAAAGTTATGTTCTCTGATGAAAGTACATTTTGCATGTCCTTTGGAAATCAAGGTCCCAGAGTCTGGAGGAAGAGAGGAGAGGCACAGAATCCACGTTGCTTGAGGTCGAGTGTAAAGTTTCCACAGTCAGTGATGGTTTGGGGTGTCATGTCATCTGCTGGTGTTGGTCCACTCTGTTTTCTGAGGTTCAAGGTCAATGCAGCCGTCTACCAGGAAGCTTTAGAGTTTGCAGCGTTTTCTTCTTGCAGCGCGTTTCTGTTTATATGCAGCCCGTTTGTGTATATGTACGTCATTTGCCCCCGTCGGCCACCGTATTGCACACTCATCACTAAACTGAACAAAGCTGCACAAAAATTTACAAACTGTTTCCTCTACAGCACCGACATATCATCACTTGCTGATCCGAAGATAAAATTCACAAAAACAGTTTTCTGCTAGCGATCAGATTTATTGTTTTTTTTAGTAACACACAGAGTAACAAACACACTAACAAAAATGGATTAGTTTTCACATTTCAGCTGTTACTGAGACTAGTTTGTCATCTTGGCAATAGAATCAAATGCTTTTATCAAATCAAATATTGAAATGTAATATATTGTCACTGTTGGTTAAATATAGATTCTTAATCATGTTCTGATTTTGTGATTATCCATTTGTTATGTCTTGTATTAAGCCATCTCTTTCTTTGCCGCCTTAGTTTTTCCAACAACGAGAAGCTCCCTGGACATCGCCGCTCTGTTCAGCTGACTTTCTCTCATGACTGATCGTGTTGCCTCATAGGAGTCCTCCAAAAACGAATGTCCTTGGACAGAGTAGCTGATGTGGGACCAGGTGAGGATGTTGCCCTGCTCTGACCTGAAAACACAAACACACACATTACAGACGGAAGGAGGTCACATGTGCACCAACGGTACATGGATATACGAGGTGTGTCAGAAAGGTTCCACGACTGGTGTCACAAAAGATATATTTCAAACCCAAACTATGAGTTTTCCCCTTCAGACCATCAACCAGCACGTCTACAAAGAGATCCTGCAGCGTTTGCCAGTGAGGTTCTTCAATTCAATTCAATTCAATTCAATTCAATTCAATTCAATTCAATTCTCTCGTGAGGAAAGTTAGCCAATGGTCATACCAACTAGCTGTTACAGTTGTGTCTTTGTTTGTATTTTTTTAAACAAGTCACAATCGTATATTTCCATTTCCAATACTTTTTGAGATTTAAAAAAATATATATTGATAATTGCCGGTCATACACTTACGATATCTCAGAAACCTTTAAAGATGAAAGCCTAGTGTTTCATACTGAAACGTATTCTAAATGTTTTGTTTTTACTGTGACATGCACAGACATATGGCTCAGAAAACATCACCATGACTTCTGCATTATCAACTTAATTTGGCGATGTCTGCCTAAAGATGGGACTTTCCACGAAATGCTTCAAGTTTGATGCATGACAGAAGTTTGGAGCCTTGTTTCAGAAACACACAGGTTCGTACCAGTAGGACGATTCAGTCATGTAGTTGTAGACGTCTTTATAG